GACCTCTAAGTGCTTGTCAAGATTTTTTCCAAATTTGTGGGTTGTCTTTTCACTTTGTTGATATTTCTTTTGACATGCAAAAACTTCTCAAGAAGAGGTGGTCCCAGTTTTCAATTCTTTCAAGTATTACCTGTGCAATTTGATTTTTGTTCATGAACTCTTTGCCTACCCCTACGTCTTCAAGAGTTCTTCGTAGTTTCTCTTCCAGGAGATTTAGTGTTTCTGTTTTAATGTTTAGATTTTTAATCCATTTTGACTTTAGCTTAGTGCATAGTGAAAGACCTGGGTCAAGTTTTAGTTTTTGGCATGTAGAGAGCCAGTTTTTCCAGCACTATTTGTTAAAGAGGCTATCTTTCTTCCAGTAAGCATGTTTGCCCCTTTGTCGAAGATAAGGTGGCTGAGAGTGTTCGTAGAGGCTTCTGCATCCTCTAATCTATTCCACTGATCCTTGGGTCTGTTTTGTTGCCAGTACCATGCTGATTTTATCACAGTAGCTTTGTGGTAAAATTTCAAGTCAGGAACTGTAATGCCTCCTGCCTTGTCTTTGTTGCCCAAGTAAAATCCACTTCTTAATGCACTTGTTAACCTCCAGCCTTTAAAGTGTTTGAAGTACTTTAACTGAAAATCATGATGCACACATTAACTTTACGTGCCAATTATCATTTGTCAGGGAGAAAAAGCTTTCATTTCCCTGAGATGTCAAATAATCATAGATGGCAGCAAACCTATGGTAAAGCAGCACTTGTTAACATAAAAGTGGTTAATAATGATATACATCCAGAGGACCCTCTTTATTCTTATTCTGCTTTAGAGACTATAAAAACGTTAACAGAAAATTCCATGACTTACATTCTGATGAAAAACTCTATGAAGCACAAACATGATACAGATTCAGCCTATGTTCTCATCATGATTAAAATGTTTTCCAAGAAGTAACTTCTCTGGTGGAAGGAATAATAACTGCCTTCGTTTTTTTTATTTTTGTTTTTGTTTTTTTTTTTCAGAACTGGGGATTGAACTCAGACCCTTGCGCTTGCCAGGGAAGCACTTATTCCACTGAGTCATCTCCCCGGCCCCAATAACTGCCTTTGTTTAAGATGGATTTCTTGGAAATCAGCCAGAGCACAGCATAGTGTCTTCTCTTGCTTTTTCAGTTTAGCCTTCAGGAATGCTATGTCAGAACTCTTTACTGTTACTCTGCCTCCAAAAAGTTCACTCCAGTGACTGTCCTATGCTTAACACATTTGTGGTACGAGACACAATCTCTAAGCCACAAGACCTGCAGCTCTGGGAATGGGAAGAAAACAGTAGTTCCACGATACCATAGCCTGCACGGA